ATATCTTACTTGTGTTCAGATCGCTTCCGCGGAAGTTAAAGAATCAAAACTACTTACTAGTTGTAGTAAAATATGCATATGATTGATGACCATAAAGATTTTCTATGACACAACTTGTAACATAGCGATTTCTTCCTCGAAGTGAGGTTGTGGTCGAAGTAACAATAATATTGTAAGTAGTATTATATTGACACCCACCTCGCTGCCACGAGAGAAATTGTTATGATATACGCTATGTCATGCAAAATCCTATTGGCCATCAATAAAATACATATTTTACTACCAGTAGAAAGTAGTTTTGATTTTAACTTCGGTGAAAACAAACCTAAATACCATTTATCCTCAGACTGGCGGATGTTCCGACGACAGGCTACCGCCATTTTAAAAATAAAAAATCTGTTAGAATTAATGAGATTATAGTTTGTTTTCATCAAGTTAGAAAATCAAGACTACTTTCTACTCGTTGTTAAATATGTATTGGAATCATAACCAAGCGGATTTTGCATGACACAACTTATAACATAACGATTTCTTCCACGGAGGCGGCGAGGTGGGGGTCGAAGTCACAATACTGCGTGATAAATTTCTTGCTACATTCCCATAGTTAATGTCCACTCACCAGTATGTAGATACTAGTCAATGTGTGTCTTTATATTTGGTCTTATAATCCTAATTAGTTTATTATCACACTTGTATGCATTTTGAAACTAAATAAAAAGCAGACGATCTGCTGATACTTATAGTGAATTTATAACAGAACTGTAATATCTAGACATTTTATAGTTTGCCAATGTGAATCATAATTCGCACACACACCCTAGTGCATGTTGTCTGTCTCATTACACTTCACGGCGAAAACAATGATTCTGTTGAATGCTCACGACAAATGAATAAAACAAAATGCAAATATTAAAATTAAAACAGATTAAAGTTATAGGAACAATATCAGGCCATTACCTTGTTCGAGGAATGTATCCATCAATATCCACAAAACTGTTCCAAAAGATGTGTCTTTTAACAGTTTAATATCTGAAAAAGTGATAAATCTTTTCAGGTATTGGTGTATAGTCTCATTGGTCACCCAAGATAGCACACCTGGCAACTAATTGCATAATGTCCTTTCTTTAAAAACAGTAATTTAGTTAGCCAATAATGGGCAATCAATCAATGTATTGCCGGTTAATCCTTTGAAAGAAGGGCGTTTTTTACGCGAACACCGATACGACAGAGTGTATTCAGTATAGATTAGTAAATCTACATACATAAACACTACCTTTTGACAATTCGGCTGTGTAAGATAAAAGTAATTAATCAATCAGCGTGTTATCGGTTAGTCCTTTGATCGATGTTTATAATGTTGAATATTTACTCCAGACACAAGAAATGCCAAATGGGAACCTTTGTCGGTAATCTAAGTGTGTTACCACTAATTATACCTGTTATAAATTCATTAACTGACCATCAAGTGAATGATGACAAATAACATGTGTAGGTTTATACCACCTAACACGGGTTACAACGAGGGAGTATTAATTGCTGTATTGCATGTGAAAACTTATGGGCCGACACTGTTTTGAGAATACAAACAGATTTTACATGACATGATTAAATATCGAGGTAAAACAACACAGAAATGGGATCAATTTGGATCAGTCATTATACAAATAGGGCCTAACGACACCAATCGATTTTGACAGAATCGTCTATGAAAACAAGTTGTAACTTCGGAAACTAGGCAAAGCAGGAGACAAAATTAAATGACAGTAGATTGTGAGAACATATTGCTTTCATTTTCCACAACAATTGTCACGATTTCAGGTTTATACAAGCCTGTAAACACGATAATTTACCCCCTAAAATGTAGATGAATTCTGCATCGGCTCTCAAAGCTATTCCTCATATGACGTCACAGAGGCTCGCCGCTCTGATTGGTTGAAATTTCGTTCGCAGGTGAGAATTGTGCACTGTTGTCAAAAAGGTCGATTTAAGTCAATTAAAGGTCGAAATGAGTAGTTTTAATGACGGGGTTTCATTTATAACGATGCCAGTTAGTGATTTATGTATTTGTACCCCCTAGGGTTTATGTGACCTTTAACATAATTGGCTAGGCAGAAAGCTGATGAAGCCAGAGAGTAGACAAAGGACAGGCGTGGAAGCCAATGATGTACAAATAATAATGAGATGTTTATACAGTAGATTGGGCTTGGTGGATGAGTGCATCATAAGCGGATGGAATGAAGTATCCTTGGTCTCGGTTGAGTTTGTTCTATATTTATTTCTGCTTTTTAACAGTAATTTCCTACACACATCAGGGCCTAGATTTTCAAAGCTCTTTTATCGCTAAGATAGTCATAAGTGCCATACATTAACATTAACTTAAGACTATCTTAGCGGTAAGAGAGCTTCGAAAATCTAGGCCCTGGGACTGATTAGCATGTGTAGATTTGAAGTACACATCATGCTTGCTACTAATCACCACTGTGTGTAGGTCATGAATGTGGCATTAGGCAGTAGAAATGTTAAACCATTATGTGTGGGCTGAAGGAGACACTTTGCCATCAGATTTGCAACTTTCATGTTGAGTAATTGTCAGGAAGAAGCTGCACCCATAACAAGCTGTGTTGGCAGCTAAGGGACGCAACTCTTGACTGACCCACTAAATATTTACACTTTTCAGAATCAAATGACAAATTGTCCCTGTCCCTTATACAAATAGTCCAGATAAAATCAGTGCAATCTGATCGCAATTCTCTCAAAATGTTAACTTTTTCAGTATTTTTGAAAATGTTGAAAAATAATGTGGCACCATTAGCAATAGGGGTGACTATTGAGGGGGAAACAACTATTGCGATAGCGATAGTCTATTGCGACCAACTATTGCAATACTATTGCAATAGACTTTTTCTCCTTGAATTGTCTCATTTGAAGTCACTTCCGAAATGAATGTATAGTTTATATGAAATAAAAACAAGTTGAAATAGTTTCAGTCTCTTTTGATAACTTTTGAAACTTGAAACTCAGATCAAGTAAACAGTTAAAACATAAACTCAATGAAGCTGCAAGTCTGCACCCAAACATCCTGCATTTTGAGCTGCACATTTATCAACGAAAGCCAATTACTAAACTATCGATAGTCACACATACTATCGATGCATCAATAGTTTTTCATTTCTACCATCGATTAATTGCTATCGGAGACTCAACAATTGCAATCCATCGATAGTTTGATGCATCGTTACCCGCTTTATTAGCAATGCCCAATTCCAAAAGAATGGTGACAATAAGTTGGGACAGGGAGAGTCGTTATGTGAGCCAGTACTGGAATAGACTGCACCCTGCCATTAGTTGAATACAGGCATTGTTGTTTAATGCATGCGTGATGTTGTACACTAATTTGTTGTACATGTGTTCAGTATGCTAGATTATTCTAACTGTGTATATGTATCACACAAGCTCCTGCTTTTCAACAGTCTGTGTCTAACATGAATGATGCTAGTTTCATGTCAACTAATCCCATAGTACTGTCTGATCTTAAACCAGTGGCTTTATTGAGGTAGAGGAGATATTGCTGCATGTATATTTATTCAAGTATGTATTTGGTTTAATCCCTGCACTGTTCAATGTAAACACTTAATATTAAGGTATATTTCTTATAAGCCTTTTGTTCCATGTATCTTTTGTTTATAAAAAGATAGTCCATTGGCATGTTAAGATGCATACCCATATAGGGTCTGAACGTCTAGTGAGGCCCTACTCTCGGTACTAAGCTGGCTCTTTTCACACTCCAACTTGTGATATGCGAGACGGGACCCAGCTTACTTCTGTTACCAGATTTCCGGTGACAAGTGAATATTCAAGAACCAGTTCTGGTTCCAAATTGCGTGACTGCTAAATATGACTTTACTTGGCGGGACTCAGTGTACATTGTTTGTTACTGGGAGTACTAAGGTCTTGCCAAGTGCCGTGACCTACTTACGGGCCCTATACTGAATGTAAAAAGTTCAGGAATATTTTGGTGGTGAGGTGAATTGGGTTTAGTGTCGTGCTTGAGAAACTTTCGCTCTTATGACGACGTTCATGCATGTGTATGTGTATGTGGGCTGCTTGTACTAGCGCAGACTTTAGCTGGTTTTATAGTGCTAGCCCACTGAGATACCATGCCACAGTGAAGCATGAATACCCCACTCAGACACATTACTCTGACTCCGAGCCGACCAGTCCTGGTTGTACCCATTAATGCCGTGCGCCAGGCAGGGACCAACAAGTACCATATTTTAGCGTCTTTTGGTATGACGTGGCCGGGGATCGAACCCGCGACCTTCCGCATTCCGGGCGGACGCTCTAACCACTACACCACGGAGGCGGTCGAATATTTTGGAGAATGTGTTTGTTGTAATGAAGACTGGGACTTAATTTAATAAAAATGTATCCCAAAAATATTTATGGTCCTAAACTGCTTTTGTTCAGTATCTGAAAGCAAATCCGAGATTCACTTATGCTTGACTCCTCAGCAGGATGTGGGTTTGTAGTTACCTGCCTTTGTCCAATACATATATCTGAAATAAAACCAGACTTGAATAAAATGAGTAACAAGAGACACAGTTTTCTTATAAGATGTTGTATATTTTGATATGATTGCCATCTGTTCCTAAATGCTTTCATGAAAATAAACATCAGATCAAGATAATCCTTCTTGTTGCTTTCTGCAAAATTCGCTATGTACTGGACCTGCATCTAGTGCAAATGATAATTAATATCAATGAAAATTTATCTTAAAAACTTCAAACCAACAAATTAAGACTATTCTCAAGGGGAAATACAATTTATTCATTGGAATTACTATTTATATTAATTTTTTACGTACCAGATATAAATTTTGAAATTAATGTGTAAAAGCTGGATGTAGAACTTGCAGCAGTGATTCAGTGACAGTTGACTTGTACGTCCTGGCCAGTCGTCGAGGCAATAAAGCTGGAGTTTGTATGCCTGTTCTGCTGTAGGGAGAGAACGAGAATGAAGACAAGGCGCTCTGCAGACACATCAAGGCTTTTGGATTCTGTGTGTAAGTAGACGATGACTTTTCTTTGATAGGGGCCTGAGGGGTAACTTAGTGGTTAAAGCATTCGCTCATGCCGAGGACCCAATTTTGATTCCAAAAATGGGTACAATGCGTGAAGCCGATTTCTGGTGTCCCCCACCATGATATTGCTAGAATATTGCTAAGTAGGCTTGAAAACTGAACTCGGTCACTCACTCACTTTGTTTGGTAGAATCGTGGTTTAGAAAATGGTTGAAAAAAGGTCTCCTAATCAGTGAACAATGACTGTTTTGGGGGCGATAGGTCCAAGTCAGTAACACTATTCCATACTAAATATGGTTCTCATTTCAGGAGAACATACTGAAAAGTCTTCAGCAAACCATGCTTGTCATTAACTTTATTTAAAGTCCTTCGTTATGTTTCATTGTCCATGAGTTGCACAATGTTATTGTACAATGTTTCATTTCATCTTTGTCTTGTACTTCAGGAACATCAACAAATGTCAGTATCGACATCGTATCCTCCCTGCTATTGACTGTCCTCGTGGTCGTGGATTCAAAGACCTGCCCAGAACTGGGGAAGTCAAGGTAAATCACGGGAAGTCAAGGTCAATTGGCAAGGTCTTTACAATCTTAAGGAATTCATTTTATTCAGACAAGACCCTTGATTTCTCTATGTAGAAGGGGCGGTGGGGTAGCCTAGTGGTTAAAGTGTCTGCACGTCACGCCGACTGCCCATGTTCGATTCCCCACATGGGTACAATGTGTGAAGCTAATTGCTGGTGTCCCCTGCTGTGATATTGATGGAATATTTCCAAAAGCAGCGTAAAAACCTTACTCTCTCACTCTATGTAAAAGAAACATTTGAAGCAATAATTGGCTTTAGGAAAATTGCTTCTGACATTTAAAATACAATTTTGTTGTGTCTGTAAGTGGAGGAGTGACTTTATGCCACTCTGTGTTCACAGGTGAGGATGAATCAAGTCCTCGATGCCAACCATTACTACATGAGACTTCTTGAACATCGGGGAGAACGGAAGACTGACCTGACCAGCGTCTACATTTCTCTCCTCTTCGACATCTCAAGCTACTTCGCCAACAAGAAGAACTGGAGGTCACAGTGTAAGTTGCCACTGCTTTCAAAACCTGAGTGTCATTCCAATCGATTTACCTACAATCAAGGCGACTAACAGGATTAGGTGGTCAGGCTCGCTGGCTTGATGGCACATGTCATCAGTTCCCAATTGCGCAGATCGATGTTCATGCTGTTGATCACTGGATTGTCTGGTCCAGACTCGATTATTTACAGACCAACGCCATATAGCTGGAATATTGCTGAGGGGGGCTTAAAACTAAACTCACTTACTCTCACGTACAATCAATCACCCTAGTAGCTATCCCATGCTGGTGTTATTTACCAATGTACCCTATTGTCTATCCTGGCTGTCCTAGTGACCGTGACCCAAACCGTGTATGTCCCGCCCTCAATGCCCTCCACTGTAGTAATTGCAAAGCAAAACCTTCTACCATGGCTTCCTTGCCTGCGACAGTCTTCTGTAGCTGTGGGGGATGCTTTCTACTGTGAGTGTCTCACAGTGTGTTCTATCATGACTGTTGCATGGTGACGCTTTCTACTGTGAGTGTCTCACAGTGTGTTCTATCATGACTGTTGCATGGTGACGCTTTCTACTGTGAGTGTCCCACAGTGTGTTCTATCATGACTGTTGCATGGTGACGCTTTTTACTGTGAGTGTCTCACAGTGTGTTTTACTATCATGACTGTTGCCTGGTGACGCTTTCTACTGTGAGTGTCCCACAGTGTGTTCTATCTTGACTGTTGCATGGTGACGCTTTTTACTGTGAGTGTCTCACAGTGTGTTCTAGTATCATGACTGTTGCATGGTGACGCTTTCTACTGTGAGTGTCCCACAGTGTGTTCTATCATGACTGTTGCATGGTGACGCTTTTTACTGTGAGTGTCTCACAGTGTGTTTCTATCATGACTGTTGCATGGTGACGCTTTCTACTGTGAGTGTCCCACAGTGTGTTCTATCATGACTGTTGCATGGTGACGCTTTCTACTGTGGAGTGTCCCACAGTGTGTTTTAGTATCATGACTGTTGCATGGTGGCGGCTTTCTACTGTGAGTGTCTCACAGTGTGTTTTATCATGACTGTTGCATGGTGGCGCTTTCTACTGTGAGTGTCTCCAGTGTGTTGTTCTATCATGACTGTTGCATGGTGACGCTTTCTACTGTGAGTGTCTCACAGTGTGTTTTAGTATCATGACTGTTGCATGGTGATGCTTTCTACTGTGAGTGTCTCACAGTGTGTTCTATCATGACTGTTGCATGGTGACGCTTTCTACTGTGAGTGTCCCACAGTGTGTTTTAGTATCATGACTGTTGCATGGTGACGCTTTCTACTGTGAGTGTCTCACAGTGTGTTCTATCATGACTGTTGCATGGTGACGCTTTCTACTGTGAGTGTCTCACAGTGTGTTTTATCATGACTGTTGCATGGTGACGCTTTCTACTGTGAGTGTCCCACAGTGTGTTCTATCATGACTGTTGCATGGTGACGCTTTCTACTGTGAGTGTCTCACAGTGTGTTTTAGTATCATGACTGTTGCATGGTGACGCTTTCTACTGTGAGTGTCCCACAGTGTGTTCTATCATGACTGTTGCATGGTGACGCTTTCTACTGTGAGTGTCCCACAGTGTGTTTTAGTATCATGACTGTTGCATGGTGACGCTTTCTACTGTGAGTGTCTCACAGTGTGTTCTATCATGACTGTTGCATGGTGACGCTTTCTACTGTGAGTGTCCCACAGTGTGTTCTAGTATCATGACTGTTGCATGGTGACGCTTTCTACTGTGAGTGTCCCACAGTGTGTTCTATCATGACTGTTGCATGGTGACGCTTTCTACTGTGAGTGTCCCACAGTGTGTTCTATCATGACTGTTGCATGGTGACGCTTTCTACTGTGAGTGTCCCACAGTGTGTTCTATCATGACTGTTGCATGGTGCTTTCACTGTGAGTGTCTCACAGTGTGTTCTATCATGACTGTTGCATGGTGACGCTTTCTACTGTGAGTGTCTCACAGTGTGTTCTATCATGACTGTTGCATGGTGACGCTTTCTACTGTGAGTGTCTCACAGTGTGTTCTATCATGACTGTTGCATGGTGACGCTTTCTACTGTGAGTGTCCCACAGTGTGTTCTATCATGACTGTTGCATGGTGACGCTTTCTACTGTGAGTGTCCACAGTGTGTTCTATCATGACTGTTGCATGGTGACGCTTTCTACTGTGAGTGTCTCACAGTGTGTTTTTCTATCATGATGACTGTTGCATGGTGGCGCTTTCTACTGTGAGTGTCCCACAGTGTGTTCTATCATGACTGTTGCATGGTGACGCTTTCTACTGTGAGTGTCTCACAGTGTGCTTTTTGTAGTCTATCATGACTGTTGCATGGTGACGCTTTCTACTGTGAGTGTCCCACAGTGTGTTTTTAGTATCATGACTGTTGCATGGTGACGCTTTCTACTGTGAGTGTCCACAGTGTGTTCTATAGTATCATGACTGTTGCATGGTGACGCTTTCTACTGTGAGTGTCCCACAGTGTGTTTTAGTATCATGACTGTTGCATGGTGGCGCTTTCTACTGTGAGTGTCCCACAGTGTGTTCTATCATGACTGTTGCATGGTGGCGCTTTCTACTGTGAGTGTCCCACAGTGTGTTTAGTATCATGACTGTTGCATGGTGACGCTTTCTACTGTGAGTGTCCCACAGTGTGTTCTATCATGACTGTTGCATGGTGGCGCTTTCTACTGTGAGTGTCTCATGGTGTGTTTTAGTATCATGACTGTTGCATGGTGACGCTTTCTACTGTGAGTGTCCCACAGTGTGTTCTATCATGACTGTTGCATGGTGGCGCTTTCTACTGTGAGTGTCTCACTGTGTGTTCTATCATGACTGTTGCATGGTGGCGCTTTCTACTGTGAGTGTCCCACAGTGTGTTCTATCATGACTGTTGCATGGTGACGCTTTCTACTGTGAGTGTCCCACAGTGTGTTTTTCATATCATGACTGTTGCATGGTGACGCTTTCTACTGTGAGTGTCTCACAGTGTGTTCTATCATGACTGTTGCATGGTGACGCTTTCTACTGTGAGTGTCTCACAGTGTGTTCTATCATGACTGTTGCATGGTGGCGCTTTCTACTGTGAGTGTCCCACAGTGTGTTCTATCATGACTGTTGCATGGTGGCGCTTTCTACTGTGAGTGTCTCACAGTGTGCATTTTCTATCATGACTGTTGCATGGTGGCGCTTTCTACTGTGAGTGTCCCACAGTGTGTTCTATCATGACTGTTGCATGGTGGCGCTTTCTACTGTGAGTGTCCCACAGTGTGTTCTATCATGACTGTTGCATGGTGACGCTTTCTACTGTGAGTGTCTCACAGTGTGTTCTATCATGACTGTTGCATGGTGACGCTTTCTACTGTGAGTGTCCCACAGTGTGTTCTATCATGACTGTTGCATGGTGACGCTTTCTACTGTGAGTGTCTCACAGTGTGTTCTATCATGACTGTTGCATGGTGGTGGCGCTTTCTACTGTGAGTGTCTCACAGTGTGTTTTCTATCATGACTGTTGCATGGTGACGCTTTCTACTGTGAGTGTCCCACAGTGTGTTCTATCATGACTGTTGCATGGTGACGCTTTCTACTGTGAGTGTCTCACAGTGTGTTCTATCATGACTGTTGCATGGTGACGCTTTCTACTGTGAGTGTCCCACAGTGTGTTCTATCATGACTGTTGCATGGTGACGCTTTCTACTGTGAGTGTCTGCCAGTGTTCTATCATGACTGTTGCATGGTCTATCATGACTGTTGCATGACTGTTGTGGCGCTTTCTACTGTGAGTGTCCCACAGTGTGTTCTCTATCATGACTGTTGCATGGTGGCGCTTTCTACTGTGAGTGTCTCACAGTGTGTTCTATCATGACTGTTGCATGGTGACGCTTTCTACTGTGAGTGTCTCACAGTGTGTTCTATCATGACTGTTGCATGGTGACGCTTTCTACTGTGAGTGTCTCACAGTGTGTTCTATCATGACTGTTGCATGGTGACGCTTTCTACTGTGAGTGTCTAACAGTGTGTTCTATCATGACTGTTGCATGGTGACGCTTTCTACTGTGAGTGTCTCACAGTGTGTTTTATCATGACTGTTGCATGGTGACGCTTTCTACTGTGAGTGTCTCACAGTGTGTTCTATCATGACTGTTGCATGGTGACGCTTTTTACTGTGAGTGTCCCACAGTGTGTTCTAGTATCATGACTGTTGCATGGTGACGCTTTCTTCTGTAGAGGGGCAGTGGGGTAGCCTAGTGGTTAAAGTGTTGGCTCGTCACGCCGAAGATCCGGGTTCGATTCGCCATATGGGTATAATGCGTGAAGCCCATTTCTGGTGTCCCCTGCCGTGATATTGCTGGAATATTGCTAAAAGCAGCGTAAAACCATACTCACTCACTCACTCATTCTTCTTTGGCTGTGCTGCCTGCTAGACAACTTACTTTGGTAGTCATGCAGCGTTGCCTGTGACAGTCTTGTAGTAAAGCTTTCCAACATAGCTGTCCCATCTGCAGTGGAGGAATGGTTGTCTTTGTTTTCCTCTATTATGCCTGCATTGTCTAAACCGCGGTTGTTGTAACAGCATGATATTCTTCAGTGTTGGTGAAGGTATTAATACTATTATATGTGGAACTGCTCTGCCCGAAGTAGCCTTGTTGTAGCCTTGTTGTAGCCCTGTTGTTGCCCTGTTGTAGCCCCTTGTTAGCCTTGTTGTAGCCCTGTTTTTTGTTGTAGCCCTTGTTGTAGCCTTGTTGCCTTGTTGTTGCCCTGTTGTAGCCTTGTTGTTGCCTTGTTGTAGCCCTGTTGTTGCCTTGTTGCCTCTGTTGTTGCCTTGTTGGCCTGTTGTAGCCCTGTTGTTGCCTTGTTGTAGCCCTGTTGTTGCCTTGTTGTAGCCCTGTTGTTGCCTTCTGTTGTAGCCCTGTTGTTGCTGTTCTTGTAGCCTTGTTGTAGCCCTGTTGTAGCCTTGTTATTGGCATGTTGTAGCTTGTTGTTGCCTGTTGTTGTTGCTGTTGTTGTAGCCTTGTTGTTGCCTTGTTGTAGCCTGTAGCCTGTTGCCTTGTTGTAGCCTTGTTGTTGTAGCCTTGTTGTTGCCTTGTAGCCTTGTTGTGTAGCCCTTGTTGTTGCCCTGTTGTAGCCTTGTAGCCTTTGTTGACTTGTAGCCCTGTTGTTGCCTTGTTGTTGCCTTGAACCCAGCCTTGTTGTTGTAGCCCTGTTGTACCCCTGCCTTGTTGCCTGTTGTTGTAGCCTTGTTGTTGCCCTGTTGTAGCCTTGTTGTTGCCTTGCCCTGTTGTTGTAGCCCTGTTGTAGCCTTGTTGTTGGCCTGTTGTAGCCTTGTTGTTGCCCTTTTGTAGCCCTGTTGTAGCCTTGTTCACCTGCATGCGAAAGGCCTGGGTTCGATTCCCACATGGGTATATAGACAACAATTTCTGTTGTCCCTGCTTTGATTTTACTGGAATGTTATGAAATCTGCATAAAACCCACCTCACTCACTCCAACCTAAAGTCCTGTTTTGATGTTGCTTTGTATCATTGCAGCCATGGCCAAGAAGGGAGAACTTTGTGCCATTCAGACCAGCGAACGACACTTCCATAGGTACATTTGCATTTAATCTTGTAAGACGAGGTTGATTTCTCCGATATTTCAGTTCAGGGTGTTGTGAAATGTCTGCTTGGTTTTGTGTTGTGTGTACATTTAGAATAATAAGAATAATAACTGTTTCCTGATAATGCTATTGTTACCAGTGTCACTTGTGTTTGGTATGTTTGTTGTTACCTTTCAGGGTGGAAATCCTGTCAATTAAGGAGTCAGAAGGACTCAAAACTCCCACGGCAGAGGTACTTACAAATGTCAGTTTAGTCATGTCGATAACTTACTGCAGTCCATACATCTGCAAACATGAATTGCAATTTTAAAGGAGGTCAGTCAGGTCAGTACATCTCTGAAGAGGTCAGGTCAGCAATATTAACAGAGATGCCAACCACTCTGATTTTGGAAGAGTTACTGAGATTTTCAAATACAACATCCACTCTCGATTTGTCTATAAAAAACTCGGATTTTTGAGAAAATACAAATATGTTTATAAATTTAGAATGTTTGAAAGAATTTTAGTAAATAGCCATTTAAATATGTTCATTTGAGTTAAATATTATCTGGTTCAGTATGCCCAGAAATTGCATATTTCCAGGCTATATCTAAAGATTTTCACAGGGGAGGCACCCCAGACCCCCATCATCAGAGCCAGAGTCCCTTCTCACGTTCTGCCCCAAATCGTTCCTTCAGGGCTTGTGAATTGCTTTGAGCAAGGCATGACTTCACTTTCATTTGATTCAGGGTTGGCATCTCTGCATTAGTCTCTGTTTGACGTAGGATTCCTGTAAAATGAGGATTGGGTGGTCCCAGCCTTTGGCCATGGCTACTGATCCACGAAGCATTCCTAGCGATACAACTGGCAAACAATAGAGTTACGCTAGCCATGGCTCCAAGAACACTTTGTGCATTCAAGGATTGGCTAAAAAGATCAATAATCAGAAATATTGTCGATTCTAAAAAAATATTAATGATAATCAATATAGAAATTGTCTCATCAATAATACATACATGAAGTTTTGTGATGAAAGATAGTTTTAATTTACTCAGACAATACACAAACTAAGGTCTATAGTCATTGACTTTTTAGGATGGTGTGTTGTTAGTAATCCAATTCTAAATAGGTCACCACTCTCTCATGATGTCAAATATTTAATTTCTATCAGATATCTTTTTGCATTTTTGCTCCAAGTTACATGTCAAGGGCTTATATGACTGGCAAAAGGGAAACTGTCATAACATAAGTTGTTTATCATATACCACATCAAGGGACATGACTCTAAAATAAAAACAACTAGGCTCCGTCTATTGAAGTTTCAAGTGTAGCCAGCCCTAGTGATTTCAGACCCTGGATGGTTGTCTGTTCACTAAGTATATTAATCACAATGATCCAGTGTTTTAGAATAATATATTGCAGTCATCATACAACTATGACTTGCTTCAATGTTGTTTAATCAGTTATGTTTAGGTACATGTTGTGGCAGCAGCAGCAGCATTCTCAACCAGACAAAATGCTTATCAGCCTTTTCCCCAGGCTACCGACCTCACATCACATACAGTCACACGAAACGCTACTGACCAGTGCACAAGTTTTCTAGGTAACATTGGACACAATCACCTGGTGGCATTGCTGTTTTGAATGAAGCCCCACCCCTGCAAGATTTCATTGTACACTTGCCTAGTTAACATTTGATAACTGGTTTACTGGGCAGCTGTGACAGTTTGAATCTTGCTAATGATAACACATGATAACATTCACTTCAAATTGAATTGTGGCATCAATCAACACTCACTCACTCACTCACTGAGTATTGTCATTGCATCTGGGGTGGTGGGGTAGCCTAGTGGTTAAAGCATTGGCTCGTCATGCCGAAGACCCGGGTTCGATTCCCCACATGGGCACAATGTGTGAAGCCCATTTCTGGTGTCCCCCGCCGTGATATTGCTGGAATATTGCTAAAAGCGGCGTAAAACTAAACTCAGTCAGTCAGTCAGTCAGTCATTGCATCTGATGATGACATTTATTATTAATGTGCTAATGCGCTGGGTATTAAAATGCGCTCCGTCCGTCTGTGCACATTCGTATTTTCCGGAGCAGAATTTCAAAACTGTTCACTATTTCTTCACCAAACTTGGCACATAGATGGATCTGATGGTGTACTGGTGCCTTTTGGTAGATCTGTATAAAATATTTTTTTTGCGTTTCCTTGGCAACAAGTGTGACTGAAATTGGTAGTAGTGATCTTTTCTTGAGCAGAACTGTAAAACCGTTCAATATTTCTTCACCAAACTTGGCACATAGATTGGTTTGGTGGTGTACTGGTTCCTTTTGGGAGTTTTGGAATTCTGAATAAAATATTTTGGCATTTCCATGACAACAAGTTTGGCTTTCACTGAATTTGGTGGTAGTGCTCCTTTCTGGAGCAGAACTTATAAACCTTTCAGTACTCTCCTTCCACTTTGCCATATACACACCAAAACATTTGACATAATCATAACTTGTAGATATATATTCATGAAGAATATTTTGCCATTGTGGGGGATATTGATGACTTTGTCTTCTTGTTTAGGTGTGGTTTGTTGATGACGGCAAGACAAAAACAGTTGATCTGTGCAGGCTCCTCACACTGCCAGCCCACCTGAAAGAAGTCCCGTACCAGGTAGGCAGTCGTTGCTTCTGGGCACACAGACCTTAAGTGTTCAAAGACATTAGATGGCTTTAAAACACTGGAAGTCTTAGTATTATTTTCAGAAGATCATCCACTGGGATTTGTGAATGTATGGGTGTTATTTCAAAAAAATGGGTCCTAAATATGGTCTTCAGTAGTCAGTAGTAACAACCAGCCACCCTGTGCCTGACCATCAGTGTCTCAGCACAGTGGTGACTTTTCCCAAAATATGACTTGCAGTCTTTCAGCAGTTACTATCGCCTCTCCTGTATATGGTCGTCGGTCTTTGTTTGGGGCGGTGTGGTAGCCTAGTGGTTAAAGTGTTTGCTCATCATGCCAAAGCCCCAGTTTCCATTCCCCACACGGGTACAATGTTTAAAGCCCATTTCTGATGTCCCCTGCCGTGATATTGCTGGAATATTGCTAAAAGCCGTGTAAACCCCAACTCACTCGCTCAATCCTCACCCAAATATTACCGTCAGACCATCCACACTGTGTCTACTTCCAGGCTGTAGAGGTGTACCTGTGTCGTGTGAAGCCCATGGACAGTGACTCAGAATGGACAGAAAAGGTACAGCTGAAATGATTTTAATGATGACTTATTTTCACACACCATCGTTTCTGATGTTATCACTGGTATCCACAATACTACAGGATGGGGTAAACAGTTGAATAGTCTACCTGTTGATTGACTTCTGGCTTTGTGTACAAATGTCTGATATTAACAGCGTTAGCCTTGATAAGTAATGGGCTTACAGTCAGCTGTTACATTAACCGCTGTAACATATCAGCAAGTTTGTAAGGAGAGCAAAATATTATTTCACCTTGTAGTGTATTGTGGGATATTTATTGCAGTGATCTATTATGGTATAAAGTGACATTTGAATCTATTGCATCATCCCAATTTGTTTCGATGATGATGAAGATGATGATGATGATGATGATTTGGAGATTTCACTTCCCATGTGATGAATATTTGTAAGTTGTTTCTCTTTCTTACACTTCTTTGTGTGTGTTATCCTGAACTATCGCTGATGCGGAGGGGTAGCCCAGTGGTTAAAGCCTTCGCTTGTCATGCCGAAGACCTAGGTTGATTCCCCACATGGGTGCAATGTGTAAAGCCCATTTCTGGTGTCCCCCGCCGTGATATTGCTGGAATATTGCTAAAAGTGGCGTATAACCATCCTCGCATTCGCACTGAACTGTCGCTGAACTGTTGCTCTCTGTCTCCCAGGCCAACACGTTCATCTTTGAGGAGCTGAATGAGATAACTGAGCTGGATGCATGTATTGTTCTCAGGTAAGGACGAGGATGTTACAGGGATACATTTGAAAACTCGAGTAAAGTGTTCAAGTGACACATCATTGCCTTAGAAGATGGTATTTAGCATGGCAAAGACTGGTTTGTGTTGCGTCATACCAAAAGAGCGTGTCCATCCTGTACTTTGACATGGTATATCAGTGATCAACATCATGAGCATTGATCTACATAATAGGGATACGATGATGAGAAAATATTCTCAAACGCGGCGTCAACCAAGTCAGCAAGCCTGACCACCTGATCCCATTTGTCACCTCTTGCGACAAACATATGTTGTTGAAAACCAATTCTCATCACGATCTTGACGGTGCACATGCCCACAGAGAGAGGGAGATGCATTGCTATTCAGTATGAATTCCATGAAGCAACATTTAGACCATGTAATAACATTGATATTGACACTGTGACCACAGAAGTGTGGAGAAATATAATTAGGAGATAAACATCATGTGTTGGCCAATTTACGGGTGTTATTGAGTATTTGAAGCACAGGAATTTATTTGGAACCAACGGCGTCAGTCGGGGTTTCAAATGGAATATTCCGGCTTCAAATTCAAATGGAACACATGATTTATCATGCTTCAAAGGTAAACCTCCAACACGTTTGTGTCTGTACTCATTGACCTCGAGTACAGGTACAGCAGTGAAATGTCATCAGCCGGCCGTTTCGGCTGTCTCCCATGGTAGCATCTGGAACTGCTTATTTGTGGCGTCATTCGCACTTTACATCACAATATGCACAGCTGACGACATAACAGTACAACCAAATGTGTGTCTACAGATTTTTTTTGAATGAATGCACTCATTCAACATCAGATTAATCAGTGACTTTTGGTTTACAATGACTGATGTCTGATGTTTTATTGAACAATACACCGTTTCCCCCAGACAGTCAATGATCCCTGCCCATTCTCTCCCCAGCGTCGGGAACACCTTGTGGCTGGATCCGCTGGTTCAGAGAGTAACCATGGAAACCATCAACATGACCACCAACCATATGCGGGTCAGAGATGAGCTGCTCAGACGTGGCCTTGGATCTAACAACCCTAAGGTCAGTGATGTTACAGTGTCTTGTCTTCAAGCGGGTACTTACTTTCTTGTATCTTTGTTCAATGTGCTACTCCAGTTTTGAAAGGCACAATCTAAGGTGAAAATATACATGCATCGTGGTTTGAAATATCTCAATATTGCTGTCCAAATTTGAGTAGTATTTGCTAGTAGTAGTCTGATTACTAGTTAAAATAATTGAAGATTGGTCGCAGTGACCAAACGACCAAGCAATCGATCACATTTTCTCATAATCGAACACAAACGATTTTGCAACTACTGTTTTAGTGTTTGAAACACTTGACGATGGAACATATCCTAGAAGTTGTCAGGGCTTGAAAACTTGTTTAATTCTTAGAAAACTCACTTCACTAACTGAAAAGTCATGACTGAATATTTCTTGAAGACTCCAGAAAGTTTATGTTCATGATATATTACTCATCACTTTAAAGTAGCAAGTTGCATCATGTTATACATATCTACAATAACAACCTTGATAGGAAAATCTGAAAAATGACGCTAACCAATATTTTTCGATGGTTGTTCATTGGTAATGAAGCAATCATCAATTGTGAGATTTCAACCAATTCCCAACACTAGAATTGGCTCCAGATGCTCATCTTGTACATATGTGGTTACAAAGCTAAATGAAGAAGTCTGGTTTTGTATGCAGTAATGATTATGTTGATGATGACAGTGAATAACAGTTGATGAAAATGTTTAATGATAATGGCTCATTATGATAATTACAAAGGGCAAGAACTGCTGTTGTCACTGATGATGGTTGAATGAAATGTAGATAAAACTTACAGTTATGATGTTCAGGACAGTGACAGTAAATGGGGATTGTGAATGGCGATTTGCTATGATGATGGATGACACTACAACTGAATAAATAGGATTCTTCACCCAGCCATGAGGTTACACAACACCAAATGTTTTCCCATAGACTTCTATAGTAATCTTATATTTTTTTTAAAATTATCCAGGCTAACAACAGCCATTCCATGTACACATGGGTAGAGTCTGGCCTTCTTGTCTGGCTAATTTTCCCAGCACAGGAAGCGGAACACATCAACCCCAGTCCTGCACCAAATGTCACCTACTGGAAAATATCTGTACACACAATAAGCATAGGTCATGGTGATAAAAATGACAGCACTAAATACTTAAAATTGTGGTCAGTTTTAATTACTGTATGGATTTGATTTTGAAAGACATAAAAATCATATGTCTCTATCTCTTCAGATGTTTACATACAGTTCTCTCTCAGAGGGCATGTGATTCTGATTTAGTGTAGTGGAACCATGAATGGGTACCTGGAAGGTTGAGATAGATCCCTCAAAGACATATACACCCTGGGGAATGAAATCATGTGCACACTGATCCACTGACACACTTTAGGGTGTGGATTTGGTGATGATTTATATGCACGTTGTTGTGTATTCTCATGTTGATGTTGCAGCACGTACAGCAGCTGTACCAGCTCTGTAAGGAGTGTCATGTGGAGGTGCCTAGACAGCTCCTGGCGAAATACCTGTCAGGGTAAGCCTGGCTTGTCTTCTTTGGTCGTACTGGCTTATCTCCCTTTACAGTTAAATTCTTTTCTTGTCATATGTTATGAAAACTGGGACAATGAGAGCGCAAGTGGGAAGTTCTTAATTTCACAAATCTGATGAAATAAACAAATAAAGCTTCATCTGAGAAATATTTCTAAATCTTTTTCTAATTCATAATATTCATAATAGCATCATCAAAGCCAGACACACAAATACACATGACGCTACATTTGTGGTTTGACGGAAATTTTTCAGGATTCTTGAAGTAGCTGCTGTCACAATGCAGTCATTGATGATACTGGGAAAGCGCCAAATACTGCATGCTCTAGAAAACGGCATCTAATGTAAATACAAGGTTGGACTACTACATGTCATTCTGTCACTCCATGTCGCTAATGTCTCAAAGAAGAGGTGACGTGATCATTTAGTTAGAAAAGTTTCCTTTGGACTTTCAGATATGAGAAGACAATTGACATCGAGTCTCTCCCTGAGGACCAGGAATATCACGACGTCTATGTGTCGGCAGTTGCCACTCCTGATGTCATCCATATACAGCGTAAAGAACACGTGAAGCTGTGAGTCCCAAAACCAAACTGATGTAGAATCTGCTCAATCCACTCCTTCACCTGCCTAGATTGGTCCAACCAAATAATAGGTGAAGAGAGTGGTTGTGAGATTGACATGCTGAAGCGTTAATTGAGTGTGTTTATTCCTAGTTATTATCACATTGCATCAAAGTGGAGTCATAATATTTGGCTGGATTTGGTGAAACTTTGCCAATGACATCAGTAAAATATCTCGCATGCTGTGACAAGGAGATATTACAAGATACAGTTAACAGCAGAACATTGTAGTTATTGTTCCAGTTAAACAGGTAAACATCCGAAATGATAGGCTGTACATGGGAACTGGTACATAGTTACAATAGAAATTTACAAAAGAACAATTAAGTAACAAATAAATGGCAACCACTGTGGAGAATCATGTCACATTGGTATATTTACATAAAGAGCATTTGTTATAGGGGCCAGTCCAGTTCCAAAGAAATGTCTATCTGATTCCGGTATTTCCAGACTTTGTAAAAGAAAATTTGACCAGTATTATGACATAATCTTGTAGCTTGACTAGTTAAATTACTCCTCATTATTATAAACATAGTAAGATCTGTTACATTGCTTTTTAAAAATGTTTAAGTTATTCAAAGATGTAATGTTGTTTTGTACACAACTATGTAATGTAACTTGACACTTGGTGCCCCAAGTCATTGACCAGTCTGTGTGTAGGGCAGGCCAGTGTAGTTGTCATGAAGCAGCTTCTGGTCAAATTATGAGGAAGTGATTTAGTTGCAGGCTCCTGTGTCATACTGCAAAATTTAACCAAATTTGTGAAATAATTTACCCCTAGTATTCCCATCTGATTATCCTCTATGAGTACCGATAGCTTTTTCGAAGTTGGGATGTACAATATTGACAAACTTTATGGGTAACAACTTCTTTCATTTCATGAGTGCAACATTTTGATACAGAGTCTGGTACCTTTGCTTGACAACGGTACAAGTATCTGTATTGAAGCATTGCACTCATGAAAGAAAAGAAGTTGTTATCAATAAAGTTTGTCAATATTCCAATCTGATTACCAGGACGTTTCAGTGATGCTGTTTTCCGCAGGTTCGAGGAGATGCTGGATGAGATTAATGACAAGATGGCCAAGGATGAGATGGAGTTTGACAAGGACTTGTCTTTCCGCCTGGGGACCTACTGTCTCTCTCAGTTCACACAAGACAACAGGTGATATAGACAATATCTGACTTCTCATGAATATTTGTGGTAAAACTGGTCCCATCTATCTATGCCGGTTGAAAGGCAACAAGCATGGTGATGGGTGGTGGGGGAGCCATACTCACTAACTCAAGCATGGTGATGGGTGGTGGGGGAACCATACTCACTAACTCAAGCATGGTGATGGGTGGTGGGGGAACCATACTCACTAACTCAAGCATGGTGATGGGTGGTGGGGGAGCCATACTCACTAACTCAAGCATGGTGGTGGGGGAGCCATACTCACTAACTCAAGCATGGTGATGGGTGGTGGGGGAGCCATACTCACTAACTCAAGCATGGTGATGGGTGGTGGGGGAGCCATACTAACTAACTCAAGCATGGTGACTTGGTTGATAGTGTGTCATTGAACAAGTGACATGATTGTTGATCATAATATCAATCACTTGTTTTCTAGTCCAGAGTTGAATCTTTACAGGCCTCAGTTGTATTTACTGAAAAGTGTTACAGAAAGTGCTGTAGAAAGAACAACAAACAAAAAGTTTAAAATAATAAACCCCAGCATAGTTACTGTAGTCTGTAAGTGGTTGGTTGTTTGTTGTTTAATGCTTAATTATGATAGTCACAGGCTACTTTGGACTGTTTGAGACCTGAAATCACCACAAGTCTGTGTTGATAGCAAGGCCCCCTTCAAAAAGCTATCGTAGTGCTACGACTGTCGTACCTCCCATACTGTAACATAGATTTACGACAGTCATAGCACTACAATAGCTTTGTTAAACGGGGCTCAGAACTGTTGAGGTCATCAAGAAGTTTCACTCACTCACTCACTCACCACTCACTCTCTCACTGTTTCAGGTGGTACCGAGGACAGATCATTGAGAAGCTCTCTGATGACATGTACAATGTCTTCTTCTGTGACTTTGGTGACAACGACAGCTTGTCGACTGCTCGACTCCGCCCTCTGCCAGACAAGTACACTGGCCTTCCTTGCCAAGCCATAGAGTGCAAGCTGGCCCATGTGCAGCCAAGGGGAGATAACTGGGACAATAATAGTGGTGATGCTTTGTGGGATATGACCCACTTTTTGACAGGGGAGAAGAAACTCCTGGTCGCTAAGGTATGTTAAATTTAACATGGATTCGCAGTGGTTCAGAAATGTTAATAGCTGACTGTGATGATACCTACAGTGTGATAGATGCTTAGGTATAGAAGCTTCTTTAATTGTCAGTTTGTGAGATGGAGATTATCTATAAATAGAACAGGAAGTGATGGGTAACAGTGCGAGTAGCGTGATGCCATCTCTTACACAAAGGCATGACTGTTATGGTGGACATACCTGCTTTGTCCAGTCATTATGGGTTTGGAAAGTCCCCAAGCAAAAAAGTGGTTGCATTCATATTGTGTCAAGCTATGTCTTGAAGCAGGAACATGTATGAAGCTGAAGGTTTAAAGGTTGTATTTCAGTGATATTGAAAGAACTGACATTGTACCAGTGATATCAGTGATATCATTCGTCTGTGTCATGATACCGGTACATTTGCATGGTGTCATGCGCCTAGCTGGTAGCAGGCAAAAAAACTAGCTCTCCTTTAAAGAACCACTAAACTTTGTTTTTTGTTACTCTTTTAACCATTACATATGAAAGATTTGTGGTTAGTCTTATGCGGAACACCAAATTTATTCTTTAAAAACTTGTGGTTAATTAATACCGAGCGATTAAAAGTGGCCAAAAAGTCGCCTGCTTCCCTCTCGACCGCCAACGAAACCACAGACAGGTTACGTAACTCTGTCGCCAGATCACTGCAGTGACGTCATATGAGGAACTATTTTCAGTTAGTTGTATAGAAAGTGTGTAGCACGCTCATCATTTTGATGATTTCGACATGAACTACGACATGCCGAATCGTTGCTTTGTCGTCAATTGCTCCTAGGGGTCGGGTGATGGTGTCACCATGCACAGATTTCCACAGGACCCCGCAGTTCGTGCTAAATGGGTTATGTTTGTGAGTGCGAAGCAGGTTGTGGAAGCCTGAAACGATATCTTACTTGTGTTCAGATCGCTTCACGGAAGTTAAAGAATCAAAACTACTTACTAGTTATAGTAAAATATGTATATGATTGATGACCATAAAGATTTTCCATAACACAACTTGTAACATAACGATTTCTTCCTCGGAAGTGAGGTTGTAGTCGAAGTAACAATAATATTGTAAGTAGTATTATATTGACACCCACCTCGCTGCCAGGAGAGAAATTGTTATGTTATACGCTATGTCATGCAAAATCCTATTGGCCATCAATAAAATACATATTTTACTACCAGTAGAAAGTAGTTTTGATTTTGTAACTCTGTGAAAACAAACCTAAATAGCATTTATCCACAGACTGGCGGATGTTCCCGACAGGCGCCTTTCATTTTTGAAAATCGTAAAGTCTGTTAGAATTAATGAGATTATAGTTTGTTTTCATCAAGTTAGAAAATCAAAACTACTTTCTACTCAGAAGTTAAATATGTATTGGAATCATAACCAAAAGGATTTTGCATGACACAACTTATAACATAACGATTTCTTCCACGGAAGCGAGGTGGGGTCGAAGTCACAATACTGCGCCGATAAATTTCTTGCTACATTCACATGGTTAATGTCCACTCACCAGTATGTAGATACTAGTCAATGTGCGCCTTTATATTTGGTCTTATAATCCTAATTAGTTTATTATCATACTTTTATGCATTTTGAAACTAAATAAAAAGCTGACGATCTGCTGATACTTATAGTGAATTTATAACAGAACTGTAATATCTAGACATTTTATAGTTTGCCAATGTGAATCATAATTCGCACACACACCCTAGTGTATGTTGTCTGTCTCATTACACTTCACGGCGAAAACAATGATTCTGTTGAATGCTACGACAAATGAATAAAAAACAAAATGCAAATATTAAAATTAAAACAGATTAAAGTTATAGGAACAATATCAGGCCATTACCTTGTTAATCCTTTGAAAGAAGGACTTTGCTTTTACGCAGACACCGACACGGCAGAGTGTATTCAGTATAGATTAGTAAATCTACATACATAAACACTACCTTTTGACAATTCCGCTGTGTAAGATAAAAGTAATTAATCAATCAGCGTGTTATCGGTTAATCCTTTGATCGATGTTTATAATGTTGAATATTTACTCCAGACACAAGAAATGGCAAATGGGAACCTTTGTCGGGTAATCTAAGTGTGTTACCATTAATTATACCTGTTATGAATTCATTAACTGACCATCAAGTGAATGATGACAAATAACGTGTAGGTTTATACCACCTAACACGGGTTACAACGAGGGAGTATTAATTGCTGTATTGCATGTGAAAACTTATGGGCCGACACTGTTTTGAGAATACAAACAGATTTTTACATGACATGATTAAATATCGAGGTAAAAAAACACAGAAATGGGATCAATTTGGATCAGTCATTATACAAATAGGGCCTAACGACACCAATCGATTTTGACAGAATCGTCTATGAAAACAAGTTGTAACTCGGAAACTAGGCAAAGCAGGAGACAAAATTAAATGCCAGTAGATTGTGAGAACATATAGCTTTCATTTTCCACAACAATTGTCACGATTTCAGGTTTATACAAGCCTGTAAACAAGATAATTTACCCCCTAAAATGTAGATGAATTCTGCATCGGCCCTCAAAGCTATTCCTCATATGACGTCACAGAGTCGCGCCGCTCTGATTGGTTGAAATTTCGTTCGCGGGTGAGAATTGTGCACTGTTGTCAAAAAGGTCGATTTAAGTCAATTAAAGGTCGAAATGAGTAGTTTTAATGACGGGGTTTCATTTATAACGATGCCAGTTAGTGATTTATGTATTTTTACCCCCTAGGGTTTATGTGACCTTTAATCCATCATTTCCACTGACTTTCTACGAACTCTGTTAGCGCTTTGAGCACACTTTGGTGTGGAGTTTAGCGCAATATAAGAATCCATATTATTATTATTATTATTATTATTATTATTATTATTACATTTGATATTGTTTGGTATCAGGCAATGCCCAGTTCAAATTGACTGTTCTCATCAAACAATGAACACTTAAAAAGTAAACATTTCCTTTTGAAGATGCTATGAATTTTCAGTAAGTCAGTGGGAATTTACACTATTTGTAATAAACATTCGGGTGCCTGCACTATTCCTCTCAATTGTGTAGATCGATGCGTCTTATGTTCATCACTGGATTGTCTTGTCCAGACTCGATTATTTACAGACCACCGCCATATAGCTGAAATATTGTTAAACAACACACAAGCAAACGAAATAACCAAGATGTGTGGGTACGGAATTATTTTCCATTATTGAATCGGTAATCATAAAGGCAATTCATTTGGCCAGCAGTATCTGTCTATGGAACTGACACCAGTATTCTCTTGTAGTTGGGTTTACTGTTATGTTTATTTTCCGTTGTGTTATGTCTGACAGTTATGGTGTTTAGATATTGTCCAAGTCTGCTGAGACTTCAAGTGGATCCTTCAAGTACACAATAGATCTGCATGACACCAATACCACAGTGGACATCCACCTACCCCAGGAGCTGGTGTGGAAGAGATACGCCTCCTCTCCAAGTCTCAAGGTATTCCTGTCATCATTGCAGTTCACTGAGTTGTGTCCCTTAGGTCCTCCAGGACACGATAGGTTTGAATCACAGATCCCTGATCACGGTCAGACTGCTCCGCAACCCACGTTTGTCGTAAGAGACGACGTAAAAGTGAAAAATGATGGAGACCACTTCTGGCTATCTTCCAGCAGCCATAGCGTTATATGACTGAGGGAGTGTTAAACCTCACTCTCGCAAGTTACACACAAATGCTGCTAATCTAGTTAGTGAATACATTTTGAAGTGCACTCTTATTTGTTGTTCACAACACAACTTCAACACTTCTGTACAGAAATAGTTTACTTGCCTATGCATCAGATGGGCAACACACTGACAGCTTTCTATTAGTATATATATGTGCTGCCTTTTGTCTTCCGCTGACGATACTGAAAGTTTGCAGGAGGTATATGTAAGCCAGTAGTCTTGGGCATTGAAATTCCCTGTGCAGAGTTGTGTCCCTTGGGCACTTCAGGAACCAATGGTCCTGGGTTGGAACCTTGATTCACCCAGATAGTGTTGTAAGGTTTCACAGCGCCATAACTATGGCTTTCACTAAAGTGGTAAACATTATCACTTTGGGCTTCTCTCCCTTATTTTAAAAGATGACACACTGTGATATAACAGGGCTTCTGTTTGAAGTGTAAGTCCGGTACACTCACTCCTGGAGTAAAATGACTCATCACAGTCAATGTTTGTTTGTTTATTTCACCACTATCGATAGTGTTCACATTCACAAAAGCTTTAATGGCTACTTTAATCCATGTTGCCAAGTGATTCTGGAACAGTGTCAGTTTGTCATAGATATATTTTACTCTACCAAGACACTTTTCAGGATCTAATGCCCAAGCCCTTGTCTGCAAGTCGAAAGATCTACGACAGCCCTGTACATAAACTCAAAGATCTGTGTGCTGCCATCTACTGGGGCGAGGTGGGTTGTCTCCCTTTATAGTCTATACAGCTTACAGAATGACAGTGTTCCTTCTGTTTTGCTTTTTGTGCTTTTTGCTTCCCTTGATACTGAGAATAACAATTTGTGAGGACTAGTTCTAGTTTTGTTTAGGTTTAAATCCATTGTACTGAGTAGAGTTATGTATACCTTAGGTTGTTCATGATATTAGCCACTGGGCCCATTTCATAAAGCGATCGTAGCACTACGACTGTCTTAAGTTTATGTTAAAGTGTGGGAGTTACGGTCACCTAAGCGCTACAATCACTCTGTGAAATGGTCCTGCTCTGGCTTCTGGTAGCCTAATCGTTATTCTATTCTAGTTTGGTTTGGTTTTTACTTTGGTCCACTGGTGCGCTTTGAGTGTTCACATGTGATGCTGAAGGTTTGAGTTCATTTCCAAACGAAAGTACAATGTTTGTATCCTATATATAATGTCCGCTGCCTTGTTATTTGTTGAAAGTTGTTGAAAACAAATTGAGACTGTTCCCAAGTTTCCTGGTGCATTTGTTTCAGAATGAAGATGTAGTCATTAAGAAGAGCAAAGAGGTCTCCACCATTGTCACCTCCCAGAACACGTCAAAGAGGTACAAGACCTTTCTCTGGTGTTGGGGAAACTGTGGAAGGACTTTAGTTGGCTACTCTCATAGTCTAAGTCAGTCAAGGACAATTGGGTAGCTTAGTGGCTAAACATTTGCTGATTAGTGTTGGGAATTGCTTAAAATCTCATAATTGATGATTGGTTCATTACAACCGATCAATCATCGAAAATAATTTGTTAGCGTCATTTATCAAATGTTCCTGTTATCTTTGTTCATGCACACACAAAAAATAAAGAAGAAACATGTAGTAATTTGTATTTTTTTCAAATAGCACAAAATCCATTGATAAATTTCACATATTTAAAGGATGATAAGTATGTTAGGAACACATATTTCCTGGATTCCTTAAGATAAATTCAATCATGACTTGGAATGAGCTTGTAGTGCTTATGAAATGTAAATTTAATGACACAGACAAAACCAACCTTGTGTAAAATATTGTTGATGCAAACAAGTGTTCCAAAATTGGTTGTGTTCGATTATTTCAATTAATCGGACCACCACTATTGCTGATCACACCTAAGGCCCAGGTTTTATATCCACATGACTACAATGTTTGAAAATAATTTGAAATGTCATTTGCATGGAACTTCCTGATGCTTCAAACTATACTCCTTTGAGTCAGGTGTCTAGACTCACAAGACATGTGAATTTTCAAGTCAGACATGCAAAATTTGCAGTCAGTATTTGCTAGTGTGTAAGTGGATCATTTCAACTGGAAATTTGTACTGAAATACGCATTTTGGTCACTATATGCTGTCTTGTTAAACAGTTACCGGTAGCTCTGTCACAAATCAAAAGTAGACCTGATGGATATTCAGCACATATTACTACAAGTGGAAACTAAGATTTTGTTTAGGCTAAATACGTTTATTACATTACAGCCTCGGTTCACAAACAGTAGCATGAAACGGTGACATTATCCACCAGATAATATAGGTAATCGGCATATCTTGTACTAATCAGCACAAATACAAATCCAATCACATTCAGATGGCAAGGCAAAGAATGGTCAAAAGTACACACAAGTTCACTGAAGGTCCATAAACACAGAATGTCCACAACAAAATAGTCCATGGATGTAAGCCTGCCTAGGCTGCATAACACTTCTGTTTGTTGCTGTCATCCAGAATAGTGTAGTACTGCCTTTTATTACCTACGAGGGCCAACATATCGGGGTTCATATTTTTCATACGATGCCCTAGGGCAAAATATCACTTTGTCATGGTGACGTGATGTCATGAACAATGCTATGACGTCACGTTTTTTCTGTGACGTTGCGTTCTACATGGCGGCGACGGCGGATAGCTTGCCTGTGTTTGAAAGTAGATTGGGGTTATTTTCCACAATTTGACGACTTTGGTAATAAACAGATCCCTTTGTTGGTCAGTTCACCTGATGAAGGGATCTGTAGTTGTCCCGAAACGTTGTGTGGGAAATAATAAAGAAGTTTAATCCATAAAAAATATCTTCTTACATATTGTTTTCATTACTTTTGGTGAAATAATGTAAAACTGACTGGCAATCTTTTTCACTTTGTTCAGTGAAAATTTTGGAGCAGCTAGAAATTGAGGCAGAGTTTGTGGTTTTAGTTCTTTCTCTTGAAATTATGTGTGACACCCCCTTTTTAGTTGTAATACTTTAACGTGAGTTCATGTTCCAGTGGTGTGGAAGCCATGGTGTCCTGTGGTGGAGTGGCTGCGGTGTGTCGTCTCATTGGGTATCTTCGCTGTCTCGAAGCCCACCAACACATAGTCGAGTCTCTCACACTGTCCATACTCTTCTCACCAAGGTTGGTTTTACAAAGTACTCCACAATATTCCAGAAATAACTCGAAGCAGTGATTGGTCATCAGCAACATCATGGTGTTGGAGTACCAAAGTACAGCCAACCAAGTCATCAAGCCGTGTCTACGGATTCATCATTTCACATTTTATGACGAGAATAGCTTGCTGGGGGTCAACTCTTTTCCAGTGACCCCAAGGTGGTGTCTATAAGATGAAATATAGAGATGTAGACTAAACGAAGATAATTTATATTTGAAACTGATCGCGTTGTGTCAGGTGTTATGTCACTTTGTGTGCCATCACCTTAGTAGGTAACCAAGGTGTCGTTGTACAAAGTGATTTTAGTGCTAAAGTGATCTCATACCATAACATAGTGAGTGAGTGAGTTTAGTTTTACGCCGCACTCAGCAATATTCCAGCTATATGGCGGCGGTCTGTATATAATTGAGTCTGGACCAGACAATCCAGTGATCAACAGCATAAGCATGTCTGCGTAATTGGGAACCGATGACATGTGTCAACCCAGTCAGCGAACCTGACCACCCGATCCCGTTAGTCGCCTCTTACGACAAGCATGGGTTACTGAAGATCAATTCTAACCCAGATCTTCACAGGTGCATAACATAGACTTATGACTGGTGTAGTGCTAAGGTGATTGTAACTCCTATACCATAACATAGACTTATGACTGGTACAATAATGCCGTGATAATGCTTTAATCAGTTTTGTATTTGAATTTAAGAATGTTTCAGGTTGAGATGAGGTTTCCTGTATGAAGGAATCACCAATAATAGCTTTAGGCAAAAGTCACTATATAATTTGAAAAATTGATTTTTACATGCAATGACCATGCTATGATAAAGAACAGTTCTCGATGCACCTGATTATCACTGTATCATTTTTAACACAAGAATTGATACTTTAATCATTTATTAGAATAGTCGGAACTAATCACTTTTACTTTCCAATCACCATTCAGAATCTGTGAAGTGACTATAGCTGAACACCTGCCACTGATGCTGGTGAGATGTTTGGAGCAGGTTAGTATTCTACTGACGTTGGTATTTCACCGATGTTAGTACGGTAGTTAATTTATTGTATTTCATTCATGTAGGAAGTTATAGATACAGGTATTTTACAGGTATTTTTCTGATGTATTTTCCTGATGTTGATATGCTACTAATGTTAGTAATGTCCTGATTATGTATTTAGTTATGTTTCCACTTCCTCTCTGATTAACCACAGATTTATAAATATTTCTAAAATATTTTTGACAATCTCTTGCTGAATGAATTCCATTTAAATATATATGTGTTCTTGTTTTCATTGAAAGTGAATTTGAACAAAGACTCCAGATTCAGGACAAAATCTGTCAATGTGTATTGTTTTTCATTTTCTTCCAGAGTAATTTCCCAGTGCTACACAAGCAGGCTGCCAAAGCCATCTCTAGACTGGTGACTGTCAGCAGGTGAGGGCTGGAACTAATTTCTGATCATGTCTTATGTAAACAAGTGAAGTATGGCAGCTATATTGACTTTAATTTTATTTTTGTTTGTTTTCATGGCAACAATTTGGACTTTGTCATTTTGAAGGGTAAAGTTTGTTTCCGGAGCAAAATTCTGAAACTAATTGACCCATCTTCATCAAATTAGCTATACTGCCTCTCCATACCATGTAGATTTGCCTTTTGGGGTTTGAGTTTGTTTTTGCAATTTTATTTTTTTCTGTTAACATGGCAACAAATTTGGACTTGGTCTTTTTGAAGGGTAGGGTTTGTGTTTGAAGCATAACTCTAAAACCACTTCACCAATCTTCACACACCTGTGGAGTTGTTGATTTGTTGCAAAGCAATTAAGTTCAATTGAATATAAAAAACATTAAATGAAGACTTTACAAACATAATAACATACTATCAATAATATGCATTTTCATACCTGGAGATTTTGAAATTGAAGGAATCAAATGAATTGTTTGAGGTCTCAACGTTGAATTGGGGGAAGGGTGAGACATCTGTTTTTACAAGTAAAAACACTTTCTAGTGTGTGCTTCAGCTGCCTCAGCTTGAGATATTCACCATGGGATGACTTACAGTGAAGTCAAACTATGTTGACTTGTTCTATGTAGAAGTTCGTAAGGTGCGACTAACGGGATCGGGTTATCAGGCTCGCTGACTTGGTTGACAAAATGTCATTGGTTCCCAATTGCGTAGATCGATGCTCATGCCGTTGATCACTGGATTGTCTGGTCCAGACTCAATTATTTACAGACCGCTGCCATATAGCTGGAATATTGCTGAGTGCGGCGTAAAACTAAACTCAATAACTCACTCTATGTATAAGTATTGTTACAGCTACAGGGTGGCGCTAGAGAAGGCCGACGCCATGACGACACTGTGTGATCTGCTGGATGTCACTGACAATTCACAGGTAGATATTACAGCCCTATGAAGATCTGGGTCTAAGTTGGTCTTGAGCAACCAATACGTGTAGTGACTGACAGGATCCTGTCAGTCTCACTGATATGGTTGATGCATGTCATCAAATCCCAGTTGCATAGATCAGTGGTTATGATGTCAACCACTGGATACTTCTGTGTAGCTACACGTCTTTCAAATGTCTCTTTGACCGTTTTAAATTGAATGCTTCTTTGATTGTACCTTGTATCTTTCAATATCATGCAGCAAGTAATTGTGGTACAGTGGTACTGACTCTACACAGATTGGTTGTTAACACAAAGGTTGTTAGCACTGTCACATTGGTTGTTAGCACTGTCATATTGGTTGTTAGCACTGTCACATTGGTTGTTAGCACTGTCATATTGGTTGTTAGCACTGTCACATTGGTTGTTAGCACTGTCACATTAGTTGTTAGCACTGTCACATTGGTTGTTAGCACAGAAGCTGTAAGTTGTTAGCATGGAAACTGTAAGTGGTTGCTAGCATCAACACTGTACATAGGTTGTTAGTACTGACACTGTCACACTGGTTGTTAGCACGGAAACTGTAAGTTGTTAGCATGGAAACTGTAAGTGGTTGCTAGCATCAACACTGTACATAGGTTGTTAGTACTGACACTGTCACACTGGTTGTTAGCATGGAAACTGTAAGTTGTTAGCATGGAAACTGTAAGTGGTTGCTAGCATCAACACTGTACATAGGTTGTTAGTACTGACACTGTCACACTGGTTGTTAGCACGGAAACTGTAAGTTGTTAGCATGGAAACTGTAAGTGGTTGCTAGCATCAACACTGTACATAGGTTAGTACACTGTCACATTGGGTACAAGTGTTTGTATCTGTGTGTTTCAGATACAGTACTTGTCTCTCCATGCCCTGGCCAGTCTTGTCAAGGAATCCCAGAGGTACTCAAGAGTTTGGAGTTATATTGGCCTGTGTTTTGTCATCAGAAACTGCTTTATAACCAGGAATTAAATAAGCTTCAAGAAGAGTATAGTTAGTTCCAAAAATTGAAGGCATTTCGAGACAATAATCTGCTTGAAGAAAATATGTCAAACCTAAAGATACTTTATGCATATATATCAATTTAATGACTCTAGCCTCCATCCTTAGGTCTGCAGCCTGAATCTAGTAAATTGTCTTTCAGTGTGGTAGTCCATTATACATTAAGACTCAAATTTTGCAAACAGACCAGTACAGGCTCTTCGACTCAAATGTTTTTGGCACAAACAACATGGAGCCTGCCTTGATGATGTGAAATGACATCTTGTTTAGGGATATGTGTTATATAGTTTAATGTATATGAACTCTTGTGAAATTGGACATTGTGAATTGAACAGTGAATACACATTTGAATTTATTGGTAGTGTGTGCGGTGCTGTGTTGGAGACGGCGGTGTGTAGAAAGGTTCCAGACTTCCTGACTGGTGAACACACTCATGATGTCATCGAGGCTGCTCTCACCTTTCTAGCGAATCTGGCACACTGGCAGAAGTAAGTATGGAGATGAGTGATGGTCTGTATTCTGGAAAATGCTATTTTTAACATTCCCAGGATCCATAGTGTGTAAGGCCCGCTCTCAAACCTGGTATTCCCAAATAAAGACATCGATGGGAATGTTGTATTTGGATACAAAATGTTATCCATGCTTCACTTTACTGGGAATTTCTTTTGCCACGTTATGAAGATGTCAAAGGTCAAGGTCATGAGATAAGATTCACAAAAAGCCTTTACTTGTACTTTCTCACAATGTATTAATGCAGTTAGCATTAAACTTGTTTACAAGTAATACTTGAAGTAATGTATACTACTCACAGTTTGCTAAGGATCACAAAAATTCACAACTTTACTTAAACATAGAATCGTAATTTGAAATTGTATCCATTTAAAACTGAATAAAATATCATATGGTAACCCCTCTTTAGGCAAACAGTCACTTTAATCTAACCTTATGCGCTTGTTACACGGGAATCCATAAAAATGGTTTTCATGGCACCAGTCAGCCATTTTGCAAATCATGGAACAAGTCACTGACAAGTACACAACACCTGTCAGTAGCAGGTACTGGTGGGATGGGATCCACAAGATGAAATGACATGCTGAAACCTAGGATCCATGCTTACAATAAGCTTGGCTATTTAAACCAAATTTGACCCCACATCATATGTAGCTTTCAGTTGCATCCATGATTTGATCCTTAACAAAGGTGGGGTGAGGTGAAATTGGGTTTAACGTCGTGCTTGAGAATATTTCGCTCATATGACGACGTGCATGCATGTGTATGTGTATGTGCGGCTGCTTGTACTAGCCGAGACTTAAGCTGGTTTTATAGTGCTAGCTCACTGAGATAACATGCCGCATTGAAGCACGAATACCCCACTCAGACACATTTTTATGACTCCGAGCCGACCAGTCCTTGTTGTACCCATAAATGCCGGTAGCCAGGCAGGGACCAACAAGTACCACATTTTAGCGTCTTTTGGTATGACGGGGATCGAAAGACCTTCCGCGGCGGGGCGGACGCTCTAACCACTACACCACGGAGTCCTTAGCAAAGTGTGAATAGTATATTTTAGACTTGAAGCGCGTGGTCATATTCTGATTAGAGTTTGGTTTCATAATGGTGGATAGCAGTGAAAGTTTTTCACCATTGTTCTCTGCAACACAATCCAGCAATTGATCTAAAATCACCTGCTGTCAGTTGTTTACATTTGTTTGTGTTGTTTGTAGTGCTCACTCAGAGCTGAAGAGAGAAGCTTTATTGGACGCTGTGATACAGAGGATGGAAGACACCAGGTGTTGCAAGGTAAGGGTGCATCGTGACTGAACACCATAGACTGTAGACTGCAGGCAGAGATGTGTTGCACATGAACCCTCCTTGGTTTAGCGGATAGTCTCTGTCTAATGGAGCTCTGAATTTCTGTATTATACAGTGTATCCACCAGGCGGCGCTGCTGTGTCACCATCTTGCACAGGCAAGTCGCAAGAACAAGACGCTGTTGTTGGAGCACAGGCTCGTCATCGTGCTACAGCGGTAAGTTACCATAGCAACATATCTCAAACTTGTACTGCTTTCTGTCGTAAATTACAAGAAAAAAAGAAAACAAATCAACTTCTTTAAGAGGCATTTTAGAAGTTGTAGAGATGAAGGAAAACTAAGTTCTATGGATAGTCAACTTCTTAATTGCAATGAGTGCAACGTTTTGGTGTAGGTACTAACACTGTTATCAAGCAAGTGATGACGTCGCACTCATTGCAGTAAACAAGTTGACTATCCATAGAGCTTGATTTTCCTTCAAAAGAAATTTAAGTTCTTTAAATTCCACATGTGAAGAACAGATGGCTGCTTGTCAATGTTATGTTGATTTGTGTGTCAGCAAAGTTCCAGGTGTATCACTGACGACAGTAATTGATTGATAGGCCAGATGCTCCAGTGATTGATACCGGGTTGGAATATTGATCTTCAGTAACCCATGCTTGTCCTAAGAGGTGATTAACAGGAATGGGTGGTCAGGCTCGCTGACTTGGTTGACACATCATCAGTTCCCAATTGTGCAGATCGATGTTCATGCTTTTGATCACTGGATTGTATGGTCCAGACTCGATTATTTACAGACCGCCGCCATATAGCTGGAATATTGCTGAGTGTGGCGTAAAACTCAACTCATTCACTCACTCAATCCAGTGATTGATAGTGTGAGCATGGTCCCACGCGGTACTGTGGCATGCATTTCAACAACGTTACTGAACCTGAGCCATTTAGTCACCTCTAATGATGGGCAGAGCTAGCTTACTAAGGGCAACCGACAGTCCCCATGGTTTAATTTTATGTGATTTATAAAGACAGTTGGCTGAAACACAGAAATAAAGTCCTTGAGGATTATTCTGTAGTACATGTATTTGAATATAGGTAGCTCTTTATCAGTCAGTATTTATTGTTTGGGTTATGGAGTAGGCCTCTTCATTTTCATCCATATTTGCAAATACGTCTGTGACTACTGTTGCTATGATACCTATATTGTCCCTGTCTCTGAGATTTTTTACTTGCATATTTCTATGACTACTGTTACTATGGCAACTGTTTCAGTGTTCTGCAGCTGAAGCTGGATGACCCCAGCACCAGGAAACTATGCCGGGAACTGGAGGCATCTATTGCTGTACGGTTGCCCCAGCAACAGCAGACAGTCAATCACTCCAGGCTGGTTGACGATGAGGAACAAGACACAAAGTAAACATGCTTCACAGACGTTGTTTCTCTATGTTCACTCAAGGAAAAGACAGGAGCAGCACATCTCTCTTATATTTTAAGTCCTAATTATTATGGAGGCACTGTTGTTTTCGATACAGAGTTGCTTCCCTTAACTGAGCCAGGGTGCTGTTGTACAAAGAGGTATTAGCGCTAAGGTAATCGTAACTCTCATAGGCTAAGGTTGCTTTGTGCAACAGGGCCCAGGATCCTGCACTCATGTGTTCTGCTGGTGACATGTTGATGTTTGTTGTTTAAGTTACGTTGCCGTGAGCTGGTACCAGAACACCTTCCGGGTTGTCCTCACTGTCAGACTTCGGGGAATTGTCCAGGAGGACTTCAAAATCTCTCACAAACATGTCACATTCAGGTTTGTTTGTTTGTTTGCTTGTTAGGTCGCATCCACAGCTGATACAGATTTAGACAGAATGATGCTTTTAAATACCTTATCTCCCATAAAGGTACTGGGACTTTTGTAGGATTTTAGACAAAGTGTCAATTCCTTTTGATCCTTGGGATTTTTGGGTAGTTATGCTGTGTAGTCACTTTGGTTCCTGACTTTCAGATCATCCAAACACAACAAATCGTTTGACTATGAGTTGTTTGAGGAGATACTGCCCCAGAAGACGGTGATCGATGTCCGGGAGAACCAGACGTCAGTGTCCCTCAAGAAGCAGAACAAGGGGAAGTGGAGCCGTCTGCTCCGACAGAAACAAAAGGTGGGTTCATGTTCCTAGTAGTAGGTGGGAAGAACAACCTTCCACTGGCCTAGAATAATGATTTGAGTGAGGGAGTATGTTTTGCGCCACCTTTATCAATATTCTAGTAATATCACGACGGAGAACACCAGAAATGGGCTTCACACATTGTACCTGTGTGGGGAATCGAACCCGAGTCTTTGACGTAATGAGCAAACACTTTAACCACTAGCTACCCCACTGCCCTATATTGATTTGAATTCATTTTCAACAGTTATATCTGGGTGTGTCCGCTGCATGTAGAGAATCAATGTGATGTTAGACATTTACCCATGATGACAGAAGCGGTGCCGACAGATAATTTAGTTCCAGAACCATGATCATAGGTTTATGGCAACCCGAAGAGTTTAGCTCTCCGTGGTGAATTGCAATGCCGTCAGAATATTTGGCCATCCCCTTTCCATGAGAGTATAGGTACAATTAAAATGGATAAATGTGACTTTTGGCACACGTTTGCAGGAAACAGATCTGTTATCCAAGTGTTGGTAGGTTGTCCATGAAAGTCACTACTGAATGATTTAAATGTTCGTCTTAGAACATTCATTTGTTTGCGGTGGCAGGGTAGCCTAGTGGTTATAGTGTCCGCTTATCACGCTGAAGACCTGAGTTTGATTCCCCACATGGGTACAATGCATGAAGCCCATTTGTGGTGCCCCCTGCTGTGATATTGCTGGAATATTACTAAAAGCAGCGTAAAACTAAACCCACTCACTCACACATAATAATTATTTAGCAAATGAATTCATATACTGGGCAAATTAAAAGTTTGGCTCTTGCATCATGTGTGTTCATTAAACTTTGAGAATGTTCAACCCTGTTATTTCCTAATTTCAACAGCCAAGTGGCCTCACAGTGGACTTTGAGAAGTTTGTCAACTCCGATTCTGAAGTGTCCGATGAAGATGTTCCCTTTCTCCTCTCAAGGAGTGAGTAGAGATGACCTTTGGCTTGGCAGATTATTCTTTTTTCTTTTCTTTTTACATTAATCCATGCATTCTGTTAATTTCTTGATGGAACTAGGAGAAATGAGTACCCTCTCACAAGTTTCCCTTGAATTTACAGCACAATTTGTTGTGTTGGGAGTCTAGACCAGTCTAGGTTGCCAGTAAATTGTGCTGGTTGTAAAAGACTGCTTAATGGATTTGATGGTCAGACTCAGTGACTCGATTTATTGTGTCATCAAACCTGGATGGTGTGGATTATATAATGGCAATCACTGGCCATGGATTGGACCACACCTTATTAATTATGGACAAATGTAACAGTTGGAATATTACTGAGTGGGGCCAGTGTTTGCAATACTTTAATTTGCCAGTTGGCCATCAAGGCCTGCTGATGCCAGCAGGCTTTAAAATCTACAAGCCCTGAATGAAATCTGCGCTCCAATTTTGTTAAAGTCAAACCATTAAAAACAAAATAGACTACACTGTACACAGTTTCACACTGTTTCTACAAAATAAATTAGTGAAGCCTATGGCACAGAGTGAAGTTTTTATTGTTAAAGACTGGTGTTGACATTCCTATGCGCAAAGCGCTGAAATACCAGGAAGTGAAACTGTAAGTTAGAGTAACATGATTGATCATGGATGATTCCTGAACGTTAATAAAGAAAGAATTATGGGAAAGATTCCAGTTGGTAAAAAAAAATGAAACATCTTGAAATGACCATTTCCTTAGCACAAATCAATTCCATTGCATCTTTATCTCTTAAAGTGGTCAAAACATCAGAGTTTGTTTCTTATTTGGGAAAGTTGACATTTTCTATTAAATTTGATTTCTTCTATTCTATTGCCCAGAAATCAATGTCGGGAAATATGAGAAAAGGGGAGGTTTATACCTAGGAGTAATAGAAAAGAAAAATGGCAATGGTAATTGAAGGTTGGGAATGTCAATAAGCACCATTTACTCTTGAAAGAATTCTTGAATGAGCCAGAGTTTGTTAATTGTTATCTGTTTCCAGGGAGAGAGAGGAAGTTGCCGGATAGGTCCAAGGGCCAGCACCGGAAGCACAAGAAGCCTATAATGATGGACGATCTGGAGACTAGCTCGGAGGATACGTCAGACCTAGCCTCGTACAGTGACGATGAGAAGAAGCATGATGCAGCCTTGGACTTCCGGTAGTAGAAGCATCCCCAAGATCTTGACTGTTTGCTTTACCAGCCAAAGTATTGGGCATGAGGCATCCACTGAGGTCTCAGCTGCTTGGGTTTCTTGTAACCCCAGGAGTGTCAACACAAGGTGTCAACACGAGACATCCACTGAGGTCTCAGCTGCTTGGGTTTCTTGTGACCCCAGGATTGTCAACACAAGGCGTCAACACGAGACATCCACTGAGGTCTCAGCTGCTTGGCTTTATTCTGACCCCAGGAGTGTCAACAGAAGGCGTCAACTGAGATATTGTTGTTTTAAAAGCGACCGCAGTGCCAACACGAGACATCCACCGAGATCTCAACTGGTTTGTTTTTTTATGACCTCATCAGTGGCAAAATGAGGCACCCTCTGAGAACTCTGAACTGTTTCTATCAACAGCAAGTTACCGTGGATGACCAATCATGGAGGGATGGTTGTAAGAAGGGAGGTGGTCAGCATGACACTTCTGACTGTAAGTCGTCATACCCTGGCAATGTTGTTCATGCTATCAACCACTGGTTTGCCTTGTCCAGACTCGATTATTTACAGACCATCATACTATTGCTGTATGGATTTATCCAAAGCAAAGTGTATTTTCCCATGACATGTTTATTAGTTATGACTTTGGAAATGTCCCCATTTTGGAGAATGTTCTTGTTTCTCTCTATTCATGTTCTTTTCTGTTTGGGGTGAGCAGAAAGACGTTCTGCTTTAGGGAAAGGATGTGTAAGGTAGAAAGTTTCCCAATGTACCTCAATGTACTTGGTTACTTTGAGTATCAGTTACTGAATCGATTTTCAGCACAAGTTTATGCCAGTCAGTTATGCTGGTGCTAACACTGCCTATTTCAGGTCAGTAAACAGTGTGATGGATCTCGCCAACAGGAATGATTATTTTTGTGTCTTTTTTGTGTGTGTTTAAGCTGCATTTACAACATACATGTGTAATATTAGTTGCGAAAGTGTTTCTGTTCCTTGAAGGCACTATATCACACCACACTTCCCTATAAATACATAATGCATTTCTCTCAATTTAATTTTTAACCTCAGGGAAGCTACAATATAAAATATTCCCAAAACAAATTACATATTTAAATTACAATATTATATTAAAAAGTTTGAATGAATTAATGCAACGTTGCATTGAACCGACTCTAACGCCCTCTATTGGCGAGCATTATTTCAAGCATACCACATAGAGTTATGTCCCTTGGAGCGCTCTTCTTTACGAATATCCTATGCACAACTCATGATTGAAACCAGTTCGGCAAACACCGACAACACTGTGTGCGACAGTTTTCAATGTACGAAGCAACTGTTTACATTCCATATATGGGAAGTATTCTCTGTTTGGAAGCTGGTCACCTTGAGGTTTCAAGTTTGGTTTTATTAGCAATATTCCAGCAACATCAATGCAGGGGACAAGAAATGGGCTTATTGTGCCCATGTGCATTCAACCCGGTGCCCCAATATATAACCATTAGGCTTAAAACAAGTTATAAAAGCTTAAGTGAGTGCATATGCCCCAATATATAAATTATTATATAATATAGGCCAAAATATAAAATGTGTGACATTGTGCCTTCAAATACAGATATTGTTTGCGTGATAATAACATTTTATAGCATATTGATATGCACATTGACTATATTTTATATACAGCACATTTCATTTTATATCCAACAGAATTTTTTTATATCAAGCAATATTCATTGTTTTAATTGATTATTGATTCAGATATTAACACCTGTTCAAGGTAAGACAGCTATAATGAGTCACTACACAAACAAAATGGAATCCAGATGAGTCATTTTGTTTGTACCTGACCAGCTGGCTAGTCAATTAGACTGAGATGACATATTGATTCCGGCTTCTCTATCGTGGAACTCCGATGTTACAGTGCAGGTGCTTGGCTTGTACCACATGTTTGGTAAAGGTACAAGCACCTACATGTAGACATATAATGAATAATAAAGTTGAGCCCTGCCATGTATTTATTGTCTTCACAGCCTCTAACAAAGCTCAAGTTTGTTTAGTTTTCTGCTTCTTGTTTGTTTATAAATCTGTTTACTTCTTGTCGTTCAAAACCAGTTCTGTTTATGTCTGCTCAGTGAAATATTTCCTGATCTTTTATTGGACTCCTATAAGTTGTGAATTTGGTGTGTGACTGTTCGCTTGTGAGTGTATGTAATTATGTCCTTATAAACTTTCACCATATCCTGAAGTTGTATTAATTGAGATTTTAGTTGTTTACTGCTACACGATGTTCGTTCTGGAACTTCTATCTTGGAACAGGAACACTGCAGTGTAATACAGTGTATTTGTAGAGCGCTAGACTACATGCACTAGTGCATGCTCAAAGCGCTACAAATTTGTTACAACCTGATTATTATTACCCCAGATAACCCACGCTGCCTGTTAGGCGCTAGAAGGTTATTGTCACTTGACTTATCCCGTCAGGTACCCATTTTTATCCCCACAGCATGTAATGCGGGGGGATATAGTCGGCACCTCGTCCGTCTGTAATCATTTTGTTTCCGGAGCATAACTCAAAGACCGTTTTGATATTTTTCAACAAAAATTGGTAGATATGTCAAACATAACCTAAGGTGGTGCCTTTTGCTATTTACAGATTATTGTCATTTTTATTTTTCTCGGTTTCCATGGAAACGTTTTGGACTTAGTCTTAAAGAGGGTTGGGCTTTGTTTCCGGAGCATAATTCAAGAACCGTTCAATATTTTTCAACAAGACTTGGTAGATATATCAAGCAGATCCTAAAGTTGTGCCCTTTGCTATTTGGCAGAATTTTGGCATTATTATTTTTGCCGATTCAGACTTAATCCCAAATTTTCATGGAACCGCTCAATATTTTCGACTAAGTCCCAGAAAGGAGGGGTAGGTTTCGTTTTCGTTTTCGGAGCACAACTTGAAAACTTCTTGATATTTTTCAGCAAAACTTGGCAGATATGTGAGGCAGATCCCAAAGTGGTGCCTTTTGCTATTTGCAGATTTTTGTCATTTATTTTTTCATGATTTCCATGGAACAATTTGTACTTAGTCTAAAATCAAGCTGGACTTTAAGTACCTGTCAGATGATTTGTTCTTTCAAAGATGTGGGGGCCGGGGGGATATGTCATCTTCTGATGACTCTTGAACAAACTCACTTGCCTAAGGTGCAACCACATGTATCATATGTGCTTCGTATGTTAACCATGTACAGGGAACTCGGGCTAGGTCACATTCACTTCGTATAGTTTGTGTCTAACAGGCCAGTCAAGGTACATGTATTGGCTTGAATGAATGTCTTATGAAATAGATGGATGTTTTCATTATCTTCAGATGCTCTGTACATGTTCATGAATACAAACAAGTTGATTGGATGGAATTATAACCTGATGTTATTAATTGTTATCATATACTTAATTTTTTATCAACCACCATCGTCATGTGACCGAAATATTTCTGAGTCGAGAGTTCAAGAACAGAAAGTCATGTTTTATGTACTTTATGTAAGGGGATTTTCACATTGAACCAATATTGCCAAGAAATCAGTTCATACAAGACTATGAAATAAGTAATTGTCAACACAAGGTCAATGAATAGTCAACAAACTATATTCAGAGTGCAGTTTTAGGTTTACAACTGAAACTGACAATGCAAAGGACAAATTAATGTTGAAGCAATAAGTAACAGGCCTTGTAGATATTGGTACAGTCAGTCCCGCAAAACATGCTTAAAGAAACTTTTCAAACAGGAGATAGGTCATCCTGATGACTTGTTTCTGAAGGGGTAGCCCAATGGTTAAAGCGTCCGCTCATCACATCGAAATCCTGGGTTCGAATCCCCACATGGGTACAATATGTGAAGCCCATTTCTGGTGTCCCCGGACGTGGTACTGCTGTAATATTGATGCAAGCGGCCTAAAACCAAACTCATTCACTCACTTAATATATATTTCTGAAAGCATATAATCAAAAATGGAAATTGTACCGGTAGTTATCCAGATAGACACCAATAGATCTGTAATGTTTGTGATATTTTGTACTAAGATTGTAAATTTAGCATGATGTTTGGTTCACTGATGTCTAAGGTTATACAGCAGCTTGTGTTATCATACCCTCCATCATGTGGGTCATTGCAGGAGTTACTGTTAGTATATGTCCAGGTTTATTGGGTATGTTTCTTTCTAGTGTTCATCAGTTATTAGAGAACATATTATGTGGTTAAGTTGTAATCCTCTTTGTGTGACATGAAGTTGATCATGATGTTATGTTTTGATTTTTCAAGTTGAAACAATAAGTTAACCAGAAATCTGTTGGTGAAAGCATTCAATGTGAAACCAACGAACAACGAAGAAATGTTTTACAATTAACAATTGTATTCTATATAACTACGGTATGTTACAAATCTATGCTGACTACTACAAAGGAAATACAGTGGCAGTACCATTTGAATGGCACTGCAGATACAATGGCAGTATTGTGTGAAAACAGTGATTGTAGCTATAGAGACTTACAGTCTGTCTGAGGCAAAATCTCCCCAATCAATTGCACTCTAACTCACAAACAAATAATACTCGTAAATGACTTAAACCAGCGCCAAAGTAAATACGAAAAACACACCAACTCTGCAGAATTTTGTTATGATTTTGGTCCGCAAAATAAAACAGTTGTTTAACAAACCATCATTGTTTTCATTGGATATTTCAAGATTTGTGACAAGGGTGTAGCATTTTTGGGTCAAGGGTTCTTTAGTTAGAGTGCAATTCATTAGGGAGAGTTTGCCCCAAATGGACTGTAGACAATAATTAACGAGTGGCGGGGAATGACAGGTTATCGTTACTGAGTTATATTAAATGTGTAATTCTTGTTGATAGAATTACATAAATGATATAACGAGTTGGGTAATGTTGTAGTACCCATATCAGTTTTCGATCTAAAAAACGTTAAAATGAAAACAGCAGTTTCTCTATAAGGAAACCCGCGATGTGGGGGAATCAATGATTGACAGTTATTTTCTGAAACGGCCAATCAACGTTCAACAAGCTCACAACCTCAATAACAGGTATGTCCACCATCGGCATTGAGAACAGCAGTGCATGGACGATGCATAGAGCCTATCAAACGTGCAAGGAAGGCTTGTGGGATGTCACGCCAGATTCTCTCAAGTTCTGTTGCAAGGTCAAGAACGTTATCTGGCGGATGAGGAAGACGGCGTAGATGTCTATCCATCTCGTCCCAAACATGCTCTATCGGGGAGAGATCCGGTGAATTTGCAGGCCAAGGCAGTAAGTCAACGTTGTGGTGTTGCAAGAAATCCATAGCAACCCTTGCCGTATGAGGGCGGGCATTGTCCTGTTAGAATGTTAACCCAGGGCCATGATGTTGCAGAAAAGGAATTGCCACAGGTCGAAGAATCTGATCCCTGTAGCCCACACCAGTTAAGTTGCCCTGAACAATCACCAAAGGAGCTCTTTGGCATGCTGTTATTCCACCCCAAATCATCACGGAACCACCACCAAAGCGATTCCTCTCCAAGACACAGGCCTGTGCATAATGTTCTCCCACGTTGACTTCCATCACTATGGGAAATGTTAAACCTGGAGTCATCTGTAAAAACAACATTTCTCCACCAAAACAAGGGTCTGCGGACATGATTTCAGCACCACATTCAGCGAGCTTGTCGATGACGTTGTGTCAGGATAGGCTGTATGGCGGGACGTCGTGGTCTGATCCCGTGATGATGTAAACGTTGTCGAACTGTGTTGGGGTGGATGCAGCGAAGTCCTGGGATGGTTCGGGCAGTCATCACTGCAGTCTGAAACCTGTGGCGCATTTGCGTTCTGGTAGCGTCTCACCCGTGCAGAAATGGTGTTCCGGTGGCAGTGGAAATGTGCAGCCACTTGTCGTTGAGACATTCCCCCACGGACCATCCCAATGGCCTCATGACGTTGTGCAGACGTGAGCCTTGGCATGCTATGCGTTTCAATAGCCGTTTCATTTTATGAACGATCGCAAGGGCAGGGGTTGATCTTTCCAAAGTGACAGTATTCTGTGGCATTCATTTGCTCTGTTTCTATTTCCCGGAATGCATGTGCAACAATGTATTGCACGTCTCAAGGACGAACCCACTGACATCACGGAACGTGGCACGTGCATGCATGTTGGATACATGTCACTAATCTCTGAGTTTAAATCCTTATGTGTCTACACAGGTTTGATAAATTTAGATTTTAAATTTTTGTATGCACAGTTTCTTTATGTGCCTAGTATATATAACAACTAGCTCACCGCT